AATTTTAAAACATCCTTCTTTCTCTTCCTAGATCAATGATTCTGTGGGCAGTCTGCTGAGCAGCAGCAGTGACAGCAGGAACCTCTGGAAACGCACATTTCCAGGTCCTACCCCACACCTACTCTATCATAAACTTCTTTATCCAGGGACCAGCAACTTGTATTTCAAACACTCCAGACAACATTCATATACAGTAGAGTTTGAAAGTCACATTCTAAGACTGTCAGTGCTTTGAATCATCTCTTTCACTGCGATAGCATGCACAAGTTCTTTATAACTTGTCATTTTAAGAATGCCTTCAACATGTTATTTTAATTTCTATAACAGAATATATACATAATATACTTTTAATAAGAGATCTTTATAATACACTTTTAATAAAATATTTTATTGCCTTGATCAATATTCCACAAGTCCTTGGCACATGCAAAAAATAGCATTAAACACAAAATATTACATTTACAGGTACCTTTAAGTATCTATCATGTTTCATTATTTCATATCTTTTAAATTTCCATGACAAAATGTGTCAGTGCTGGGAATGAAGGTTCTTATAATTTCATCACTTGGGAGACTGAGGCAGAATTAACAGAAATTTCAGGCTGACCTATCTCATATAAAAACTGGGTATGGTATTACACACTTTTAATCCCAGCACTCAGGAGGTAGAGGCATTGGATCTCTGTGGGTTTGAGGCCACTCTGGTCTACATAGAAAGTTTCAGAGCGACATAAGGAGACTCTGTCTCAAACAGACAGAAAAAAACAAAACAATGTCCTTCAGGTATAGTGGCACACACCTTTAATCCCAGAATTTGGGAGGCAGATGCAAGAGGATCTCTATGAATTCCAGGCCAACCTCCTCTATACAGAGTGTACAAAGGCAGCCAGGGCTAAATAGTGAGACCCTGCCTCAAAACAAACAAATAAACAAACAACAAAAAAGTAACAACAGCAAAAGACCAACTAACAAATTCTGCGCTGCCTTTCTTATATTTTATTTTCTATTCAGAAATGATGCCTTATATGCAGTATTCTATTAATTATATAATAGTTCATAATCTATTTAAAGAAAAAAACCTTATTTCAGAGTATATTTCTAATCTGCTATGCATTTTAATCCTCCACAGGTTGCTATGCACAGTGTGCCAACACATACATTATTGTAGTTCTTTTATTGCCCTTTATTGTCTGATGCAAAAATGAAAGTGAGAATGCGTTGAAGTGTCAAAAAGAAAATGAATGAGCTCTTTGCCTCATTCTGCACAGATCTACTAAACTCATACTTCTCAAATGAGGAAAAAAAATCCAAATGGATAAAAGGATATAAAAACACATTTTTAAAACTCTTAAGAAATCAGAATGCTTGAACTTCAAAGTCAGAAGGCTTGCACTGCAGAATCTGGGGTGGTGTGTTAGAATATTATTTTAAGATGTGTTGGTTTTGTCTATGCTGCATTGGTTTAACTCTGTGAAGCTGTGATTCTTTGCCTGTCTGAAACACCTGATGGTCTTAATAAAGGGCTGAACAGCCAATAGCAAGGCAGGAGCAAGGATAGGCAGGGCTGGCAGGCAGAAAGTGTAAATAGAATGAGAAACAAGGAAGAGGAGGAGCAACAAGAGAGAAAGGAGAGGAAGACCATAGGGATAAGGACCAACCGCCCTGGCACCCAGTCAGCCACAGAGTAGGAGTGAGAGTAAGCTACACAGAAGTAAGAAAAGAAAGCCCAGAGGCAAAAGCTACATGGGATAATTTAAATTAAGAAAAGCTGGCTAAAAACAAGTCAACCTAAGGTCAAGCATTCATAACTAAGAGTAAGTCTACGTGTGTGCTTTATCTGGGAGCTGGGTAGTGGTCATCCAAAAAGTCAAAGGAGCAAAACATCCCAACAATGATGTACTAAGGGAAAACACTGAGGGCAGGATAGATGTTATTCTACAACACACAACACACATTTCAGATAAGTCTGGAATTGTACTGAGCCTGCTTATTTGGAATTAGAATCTGGCAACTAATAATGTATTTTAAAGCTTCACAAATAGAGGGTAAAATGGAAGAATATCACCATACACATTTTTTAAAAAGTATCTATTCACCCCTAAACTGCAGCTGTGAAAACTGATTTTGAAGCCAAAAATGAAACTATTTTTAGAGAAAGAAAAAACAAAAACAAAAAAACACATTGAAAACGAGAAAAGATGATACCCTTTGAGTTTAAAATCAAATGTCTGAATTACAGGAATGGCCCCAGACATTTGCCAGACAGCAATAAGGTTTTCAAATGGATGACCTGTCGGGTCAATGGCAACGGGGTGCAGCAGGAGTCGCTGCAATGAACTGAGACAAGGCTGGAGGCAAACCCAAAGGCAACCAGCTCAGAACTGCAACATCTGAAGAGACACCTACATAAAAACCTGCCAATTTAACAAACTGCCCATATAAACTGAACATGAAAATAAAGTTTCTAAAACAATTTTTTTAAAAAAAATGAAAAATCTCAGAACTATCAATATCAAAACTGTATTCATTAACAATTCAAACTCCAGATTCAGGCATGATCTGAATCATGATAAGACCCCTGCTGAAATATCTCCAAGCACAAACAAAGCCTACAACTTCTCTAAGCAGTTCTTTTGGACTTCGGCATTTATAATGTTGTCATTAGTACACTTGTCCTGTGACCAGTCTGTAAAGGAAACAATGCTATGCTACTAGAGCAACCACTACAAAATAGCACTAATCTTCCCAATTAAACCAAGAAAACTTCCTAGTTTATACCAACAAAACCCCACAGTATTGCAACCTCTAGAAGGTCATAAATTTGTAAATTACTATAGTTGAGAATACTTCAACTCCACAGTAAGAGAGGAATAATATTTTTATAATCAAAATACAGTACCCCATGTGTGACTCTGAAAGGTAGCTACTTAGTACAGCAAAATTACATCTCCACAGGACAGAAGGAAGACAAAAATGACATTATTTAACTTCCAATCTAACAATAACTTTGCAGTCAATAACACAGAATGTCTCTCTTCTTGGACCCAGGACAATACATTTCATTCCTTTTTGATCCTAGAGGACTTACAGTAAAAAATAAAAAAATAAAAAACAACTAACAGACATCAAAAAATGGTTTGGAAGGAAATTATATTCCCTTTACCTTTCTTTAAAAAGAAATACTAAATAAATGTGCAAAGAACAGATAAAAATCAGGTTTGCTATCAATCATTTTCAGTAAAAGAAACCACATCCTATCCCACAGTATTGTTTGCTGACTATCTTTGACTTCATGGAATAAACAAAATATATGTAACAAATAAAACCACCTCTTTCAAAGCTGAAAAAAATAAAGTACAAAAATATGAGTAAGCAAGAACACACATGGCAAGATAATTAACTTTCTGAGAGATACTTTCCAAAACAAGAATCAATTAAAAGAAAAAGATATAAGTATCCAATCAGTCCTTAATTAAAGAAAGAACAGATACCCAGGATTCAGAGCAATGACAAGTGGCACAGCTGCAAATACCTATCATTAATCTAGGTGTGCTTAAAAAGAAATCTAGACAGGGTTCTCAGGTTAACAGTGTTAGATAAAACCCAGAGGAAGGAAATTAGAATAAGGAACATTTTGTTTAAAATGAGTGTTTCTAACATTTTAATGATCTTCCTTTCTTGCCCTGATTCTTAAGCCCTTCTACCCAGAGTATTTTCTTTATGTTAAAGAAAATAAAATACGTTGATTCTAAGAATCTTACTAGATTTCCATGTGTTTTGCCTCAGCTCCTACATTAATCCAAACAATAAGGGCCTTTAGAACATTAATAAATAACCTCCTGCTGCTGGCACCTAGATGCCAAGTACAGCAATGCTGAGAACAACAGATTTCATAGTTCACGAGGCACAGTTAAGGAAAAAGTTGCGCAGGAAATCACTCTTATTTAGCACAAAGATGCTTAAAAATTGCATGAAATCAGTCAAGTAACTATAGAGACCGATTTCTTCAGCTCCATATCACACATCTCACACCTCAATTGTCTTTATTATCGTCTGCTGTCAGATCCTTAACCGGGAATGTGAACAGGCATGATGATTTATTCAGGAGGGAAAAGAATCTGCAGGTCAAGTGAAAATTCTCTCTCTCTCTCTCTCTCACACACACACACACACACACACACACACATACACAGTCTCACACACGCAGCCCTTCAACCTTAGGTACTTTCATTTCATTCTGTTCTCAGTAGCTCTGGGGGTAACTCCAGTGAGATCCAATATTAAGGCTCAATTAAAATAAGCTCCAATTAGTGGAGCTTTTTTCTCTGAGGCTAGAGAAGTCAGGAAATGGATATTGGGAAATGTAAAAAGTCAGCTACTGAGAGGAGGCTGCAGACATAAATGAACTTATTTGTTGATTTCTACAGTTGCTATGCAGAGGCCTCTGGGAGTAAAAGCTTAACCAGTCTAAGCTATAAACTAAAACCCCTGCAGCTAAACATGAACTGTGTGAAACAAGGGCTCCATTCCAGAACAGAAAACTGCTGGGCCCAGAAAATTAAAAGCCAGAGGCATTTTCCATTTAAAACTAAATCCCAGTACCGCCTCCCAGCCAAAGAATTATAAGCAGTATCAGATTTACAAAACGAACAATTACCCTGGAAAAATGTAGCCTATTGTACAGTCCCAGATGCTAAATCTCAAAGTTTCTTTCTTTCTTTCCTTTAATCCCACGCTGTATTCCTCCAAGTATATGATTGGAGTTTACAAAGAGTCATTTCCAGACAGGCCTAAGCCTTGAAAATAAATTTTAAAAGGAGAGCACATAGCTCACTGACCTCATTTGAAGTACTGCCCTTGCCTTCAGCAGTTCCTGTCCTTCCCCAAGGCTTTTGCAAATGGTATGCAACAGTAAAATAAACCCTGACCTAATTGCCAAGAGAGAGGCTGCCAACCTTCCCTCAAACACAAAGACCAGAACTGTAACTTGAAAGTCCTACCTCTTTGGCCTTCTGCTTTAATCTCAGCTGTTCTGGATCTTCTTTATTGGAACGGCTCTGTCAAAGAAAAAAAAAATTAATAGAAATCATCTAAATACTAGTCTTACTGTTAAATATTTAATAAATGATGATTTCTCCTGTGATTGAAAACCCTAGCTCCAGGGGCAATGCCTCGATCCAGTCTAGCTGCACTCCAGCCCTGGCCCCCCTCCTCCTCATCTGGGCCGGCTGGCTGCTGCAGTTCTAGCCTGGAGGAAACACAGACTGAAAATGATGCTAACAATGTCAGTCAGGTCCAGTCAAGGCATGACATTGTTCTTGCTGGAACACGGTAAAATGAAAACTGGCCTGACCGGAAGAAAAGGAAAAGAAGTGTGTGCTCAAATGAATGAAAACAAACAATACTGGCTCATCTTTAGGTGAAGCCATTTTGACAAACCATATGCTATTTCAACAGCTATTAAAATCAAAAGCTCAACTAGCCTTGAATCAAATATCTTAAAAAGAGTAATTTCTGAAAGCAAAAGTATTAAGCACATTCTAATATTTTTATTAGCTTTAGATCCTCTATAGCACTTAATGAACTAATGCTACATACTATAAATAAAACAAAATGTAATAAAAATGAGTATGAGAAATGTGATAGGTACTTCTCTAGTACGGTAGTGGGTTAGACAGCTATCTCTGATAAATAACATTTGAATAAAGTCTGAATAACAAGAAATAGCCAGTCACATTAAGGCATTAAGAAAGAGAATTCAAATAGAAGATATAGTAAATACAAAGCCTTAAAATGACAGCAAGCCTGAGTAAAGACAGGATGACCACGTGTTTGAAGCACATAGGAAACATGAAGAGGCTAATGTGTTGTCCTGTAGCCATTTTAAGAGGTAGAAGGGTTTAACGGTAGCTTTAACAACCAGCTACTGATTGTTAAAGGAAGACTATTGTAATAGGAATACTATTATTACATAGCACAAGAATGAGAATACATTCGAGCAACCCTTAGAAAGGGGCTCCAGCAGGTATACAGAGAGTTTACTACAAAGATCTATGACTGAAGGCACAGGTGCCCACATAATTAAGAAACTCTTCTCAAGCAACTGCTATGAATAGAGGGTGGCTGAGAAGACAATGAATGCAGTCTAGAACAGCAGTACAGCAATGATGACCATGACAGATCAAATTTGTGGTAGACCAGATACAGGATACAAACTAAAAAGGAAAAAATAGTATCTAGATTCTGGCCTAAGCAACGGAGAGAAATTTTAACTTTCTATAGGGGAAGATCTAATGAAAAGTACACAGTGAAAGGAAAGGATCAACTGCCTGGTTTAGATGCCAAATCGAAGGTGAAATGTCCTAAGTTGGACACAAGCTTGGAACAGACACGTGAGCACGATGAATGGAATGAGGAAAGGAGTGTCAGAGTGAAGTCAGGAACTAGGTAATGTAAGGCCTTTCTTGAAGTCCTGTAAGAGGTCTGGATAAGTACAACCAACAACAACAACAAAAAAAAAATCAGTAAAAGCTATGTTTTATTTTGAGACCCAGTTTGTCCTTTAGTTCTGGCTGTCCTGGAGCTCACTGTGTGGACAAGGATGGCCTTCAACTCAAAGAGATCCACCTGCCTCTGCCTCCCAAGTGCTGGGATTAAAGACATGAGCTACCACACCTTGAAAACCACGTGTTTTTATTATGAAAACCATTCTTATGAATGGATGTGGAAGGAAAGAGAGATCAGATGAAATATATAAAAACCCAAGCGGAAAATGTCTTGGACTAGGGTAGTGACACTGTACTGAAGAGAGGATGGACACTGTAGACTAGTGTGAGTAAACTGGGCATGGGCATGGAGAAGAAGCAAAGATGGCATTTAGGTTTTCTTCCATGAACGTATGGTAAATTAGGTTGTTACTGATTGAGTTAGAAAAAGTCATATTAAAGGAGAGAAAAATCAGAAGTCTGATTGGACATAAACAATCTGAGAGTCCTATTCGCCAGAAAAGTGATAGGAAACAATCAGTCAACTTACATGCCAAAAGTTTCAGAATGTAGACCAAGCTGGAAGCACAATCTCAGGAGAACACAAAGAAAGATATAGAAGGCACAGAACTGAAACCTAGGGCATCCCAATATTTAGCACTCTACCTCATCTCCCTGCCCTTCTCAGAAAAAGAGTCACTTTGGGGCTGAGACAGCAGGGCAGTGACAATGCTATGATGCTCACATCCTTGTGGAAGATTGGGATGTCTCAAGAAGACACAGGTCAGTGGTCATAATGGTAAGGCCAATAAAACAGCATGAAGGAAATAGTAGATAAAAGTCAGTCAAGCTGGTGATATATGAATGTCATTGACATATACACTGACTGAAGACATAAGCTAAACATGCTAAGGATAATAACAAAATCAAACTTTCTGACTCCTGGAGAAAAAAATTCTGCAGTTATTTGAAGGTAGAGAGGCAGGCAGAGAATACAAACCAATGAATGAATGAATGAATCCACAAGTTCATTATTCATGAAAAGGAAGAAGAAGAAAGTCTTTCATATAACAGAGGGTTAATATGTGAAGGTAAGCTAGTGGAAATAATTAGTATCAGGCAATCCCCACAGAAGTGGCTGATTCAGGAGCTTGTTAAGGCTGATGCATAAAAATTAGATGAGGAAAAGATGTTGAAATAATTTTATGAATGTGAAAATAATCCATGTAAAACTAAAAACTTTCGAGGGAAAATGGTCAATTTAAAATGGAAAGAACTGGTAGACAACTACATGCCCAGATTATCAGGTTGCCGTTTGAGGTTATTGGCTCAGAAAAATGTATCATCACCTCTGTGTACATCTGTCAGGAATACATGGCTTACATAAAATCCTAATACCAATTGAATGCAGGTGAAGGTCATAACATAGAAAATAAGTTGAAAGTAAGATCTTGTAAGTGCTAAGGGAATGAAGTATATAAGACAAGTTGAGACTGTCAGAAAAAATGTGAAAAGTGTTAACTACTAAATGAAATACTTATTTCTGAAAAGAAAAAAATGGAACACGAAGAAAAGAAACAAGTGAGATGGCTAATGAAATATGAACAGGGGTTTGTGCTATGCACAAGTGTTACACTGCTAGCATCCTAAAAAGGCAAAATGTTCTGATTTTTGTAAATACACACTAGAATATTTCAGGGTGATGAGTCATTATGTCTCAGGACTGCTTTCCAATGAGTCTCTGAATTGTCTAGTAGAGTTACATAACTGTAAATATACTAAAAAAAAAACACCTCTCAACTAAGGGTAAAGGGAAGGTGGACACACTGACAAACTAAAGTTTGTGTATATCAGGTGCATACAAAGGGTGGGGGAATGAGTTGAGATGAACAATGCCAGAAAATGACAGAATCTTAGAAAAGGGCAAATGAAACTATAATGTAAGTATAAAATTGTTTTAAAATAGATCAAAGAAGCAATTAGAGCCAAGTATCATGACTGACCCTTGTAAGTCACGGCACTTCATAAAAGGCAATAGTATAGTGAGTTCAAAGACTGTATGGGCTAAACTAGTATTAGTACACAGATCCTGTCTCATCACAGGAGACTCAAAGGGTTACAAACAGTAGTTGTTGGGCTGGGTGTAATGGTGCATGTCTGCATTCAGGAAGAAGAGGAATGCTGGCTCTATGAGTTCAAGGCCAACCAAGCATAGGGGAAAAGTTCCAAGACACCCATGTCTACATAATGAGACTGTCTCAAAAAGAAAAAAGAAAAAAAGAAAAGGGGAAGATAATAGTCCGTAACTAGAAAAAAAAAATCTTTCAGGAAGTAGACAAGATTGCCAGGAACATGAAAAATTTATAAAAAGGTCCTCAAAATAAAAATTAGGACTCTGGAGTTCAGCCTTTACAATTTCTCGTGAAGCTCCAACTCTGTCTATGAAGAACTACAGAGATACAAAATGTAAACCTGTAGTAGAACTGAACTACTAGTCCTAGAAAACAACTTAAAAGGAAGAACAGGGTCTATGGCTCTGCCTGTCACTCCTGTCACTTTCCCTCTCTAACCCCTTTCTACCAATTTATATTTTGTTCCATATACTCCAAATTACTCCTAATAATATCACAATCTTCCTGTCTTTTAAAAACTGTTCTTGCTAACTTCAACTTGTATATACCAAATAGTAGCTTAAGAATCTAAAATGTGTATAAAAGTTTAACATGGGACTAGGGACAGATGGATAGGAATGATATTGGGTACACCAGAATATGAGCTGGGGGGAGTAGACAAAAGATTATAATTCATTAAATAAATTAACGGAAAGCTACTACCCAACCACCTTGGCTATGAGACACCCTATCTGTAACTTCATTTAAGGATATCCTCAAGAGAAATCTAAAGGCTTAATAACAGCAAGATTATCAGTCAATGATGCAGCCAATTGTGATCACACTGCCAGGCCACATTCCTATAATCAGAGTACTTTACCTTGGCTGCTCTTAGCAACATCTCTCTTTCTTCTAGATCCTTCCTCTGTTTCTCCAATTGATCTAGCTGTTCAAGAAATTTGAGTTGTGATCTGGTATCAGTAGACAAGATGTAATTTTCACTTCCCTGGGGGAAAAAAAAAACAGTCTTATGATTCTGGGCAATACGTTTGCCTTAGACATTTTGATAAACAATATAAAAGAGTACCTGATACACAGAGAGAACTACATTTTTCAGAAAAGAGTATTTTTTTAATTTTGTTAAACAAGCAAACAAATAAAAGCCAGAAACTTTAATCACCCATAAAATGAGAGATGATTAACATTTACATTTCAGAAAGATTTCCTTAGTAAGCCTACTACTCAAGAGACAGGAAAAGTAATTAAGTCAAATAGATCCTATCAACACGAAAAAGAATCTGGTAGAATATAACATTACCTATATTTCAATCTCCCTTAGTCATGTGGTGGCACATGATTTAATTTCAGCACTATTGGAGGCAGAGGCAGGCAGATTACTTCAGTTGAGGTTTCTAGGACAGCCAGAGATACACTGAGAAACCCTGTATCTCCCCCCCACCCCGTCAACCCCAAAATGACGGTCTTGTATATAATTTGCTTATTTATCATTTATTTATTTATTTATTTATAAGCAGGCTGTCACTATACAGGCCATGATCTCCTGGAACTTGAAGTCATCCTGCCTTAGCTTCCCAAGTAGTGGGCAAGCATATAATTTACAAATGAAAACTGTAACAAAAAAACTCTACTTTCTTAACTTCAGTATTCCATAAAAATGACAAAATTAAAACTGTCTCACTTATCTGGGTATGCTAAAGTAGAATAACAGTGCCTTCAAATCTAAGTATTTTCTATTTTCTTCACCTATAGTCACCTAGCGCCCTCCATAATACAAATATCCATATTGTATTGTATTATAGAGGTGGTTGTTGTGGGCGAAGCAGAAAGGTTTAAACAATCAATACTTACCCTACCATCTACTACTCTCAGCAGTCAACACTTGAGGAGACTCTTACTGCCAAAAACAACTCAGCGCTGAGCTCAACAGTAAGGGCTCTTACTGTCTGGGAACCCAGCACCACACCACTTCCATCTCCGCTCCACTTTACCCTCGTGCTCATGGCTGCTTCAATTAGCTTAGACTAAGAGATTTCATATGCCCAAGATTCTTTTTAAATTAAATTTTTATTGTTGGCATTTAACTAGATCAAAAGAGTATTACATGGTTTAAGGAAGAAGGATGTATTAGTGCTACTATTTTACTTAAAGTTTAATACAAGAATTCCCAAATGGTCTTTAAAGTTAAATACTACAAGAAAAAATGTGGACTACATTATAGGCCAAGTATAGAGGTTAAGCACAATAACAGCGGTTTTTAAATACTTCATCTTAACCATTTCTGTGTTCAGAAACTCCGGAGACAGTTTACAGACAGAAATTTAATTTAAAAGGGACAATAAACACTAAATTAAAAAGCACTGGCATCTAAAATTTAACCATATCACATTCTCATTCTGTTTCCTTTACCAATTCAGATACAACTGCCTGTAGCATAATTTCTCCTTTTTCTTCAAGCTACAGTAAATAGGTATCTTCCCCTAACCTACTAAATCCCTACCACCTTTGTTAAGTAATAAGTAACCCCAATATTCTCAAGTTCCTTTCTGTCTCTGTGAACCAACTAACTAAAGTCTTCATGTCCAAAAGTATGTTCAAATGCAATTAGGTGGTTTTTATTTCTTCTTAAAAGATGATTTTATCTTTCTATATAATATTCAGACAGCAATACCAGCTATGCTAAAGAATGAACATAGGGAAAAGGGTGCAGGATAAATCAGTAGAAACAGTAAATACATAGCACAGTGGTTCTCAATCTGTACTCATGACCCCTTAAAGGTGTTGAACAACTCTTTCACAGAGGTTGCATAGCAGATAGTTACATTACGATTCCTAACAGTATAAAAATTACAATTATGAAATACCAACGAAAATAATTTTATGTTGGGAATCACCACAAAATAAGAAACTGCATTAAGGTCACAGCATTAAGAAACTTGAGAGCCAATGGTATAACAGTAAGTTAAGATTTTAAGTTAAGTGATTAAGGTCTTTCAAATAGGGTAAATACTACACATTTTCTATGGATACCAAATCCCAGTAACAAGGTAATTGATACAATAGAAAGATTCTACCTGAAGATTATACAACAAAGTTTTGAATGGCACTTTGAATGGCACACTGAAATGAAATCTATTGGGAGAATTTCCTAGGGGTTAAAAGCCCAGAGTAGTGGTCCAGAGTAGGCCAAGGCTGTATCTCATGCTGACAGCCAAACTTGACAATGTGTAAGATTCAGGCATGAAAAGGTCATAGAGAGTAAAAAGGTTTGTATACAAGGGCTGGAGTCCCCAAAAAGATGCCAGGAGAAGCCACCAGCCATTCTCTTCAAAGGTAGAGTCTCAGTTGCCCTGGAGACCCCAGGATTGAAGGCATAATGGAGAGAGACTATTGATAGCATGTGGCAAGGTTGGAGTCCCCAAAGAGAGCCCAGCAGGCCAACGATGAAGGTGCTGCCCATGGACACCCCAGACAACGGGAGATGCCAGGACCATGCAATGACAACAAAAGACAGCAGCAGCTGTGGGGAAAAGCTGGATTGAAACTACAAGAGAAACTGGGTATGCTGTAAATGGCAGAGCTGGTGAAAGGAAAGTCTTTGGAGCCCAGAAGACCATGAGTGTCACATACTGAGCTATTTACACTGATGGACTTTGCTTTGATTGTGATGGACTAGGGAGGGCTTCGCTTTGATTGTAACTGTACTCTGGTTCTTTCCTCTTAAAGTAAAAAAGTATATAATTTTTCTTTAATTTATAGAAGCCTACAGTTGAGAGTTTTGGGACTTTTAAAGAAAAGTTAGACTTCTGAGTGATGGGTTCTTTTAAAGTATGTACAACTTTTTAAATTTGGAATGTTCTACGATTTGACTTAAGGACCCCTCCACGAGATGAAACCCATATTCAAATACTGCTTGGGTGACCAAGAACCAGAGATTAGACAGCCCAGAGACCTAGGGTAAAACCAAATACTACTGGCCTTAAAAAAAAAAATAAGTAATGATAAAATGATTTCTAATGATATTCTGTTTTGCTCATAGATCTAATAATTAATAAAATAGAGAAGCCATTAACTAGAATAACAGTAAAAAAGGAAGACACAAGTAAGAATCAGAAACAAAAGTGCAATTACTACCACCAACTGAACTGACATAAATAATAGACAGCCTACAAAATAGACCAATTCCCAGACTCACATAAAATGAGATACTGACACTGTTTTCCACAGCTTTCTATGATGCTGATTCCATATTTTTAAGACAGTCTGATAAATTCTTACAAAAATTTTGAAATTAAGGACCTTAATACCTATACATCTTCCAAAGCTCTACATGAAGCAGAATGTACATAAGATGGTTTCTCCAGCTAGCTTACTAGGGAAACAGAAGATTTCTTTTCATCTGTATGGCTGGCAATGAATGATCCTACTGCAAACATAAAATTTCATGAAGTTACCTATTTACGAACATGTTGGAAATCTAGCTCTCAACATTTTTTAATAAAAGGGTTGTTCCTTTTCATCCCATCTTTTCTTAAAATCCATAATCATTTAGTTATTTCCCTGCCTCTGAAACTACAGTTCACAACTGATCTTACCCTAAAGGCCACGAAGCAATAAAAACTACAATTCAAATACACTAAATACTTTCATCTTGGTAACAGCGAGTCATTTTGTAACAACGCTAGAAACCAGACAGGCTATCCATGCATTAAGTCATTCCTATCAGCAGTCAAGAACAGTAACGAGTGGCACGAGCATGAGCACTATTCTCATCATGTGACTAAGGAGCCAGAGTCCAGACCACCAATATTCTACCCTAACACAGTCCTGAGGAAGAGCCTCGGACAAAACAGGTGCGTATTCCAATATGCAACACAAAACCTCCTTTGGACACTACTTCAAATCCTATTTAATTTGGTTTACTATATATAAGCATATCCACGTAAGTCAATTAAGGAAACTACTAACAGGAAATATAAGCCTCAATCTCCCTTCTAAAAATACATCAAGATGTGGACCTTTGTCCATGAAACCACCTTTAGCATTGCTCAGGAGACGGCATCTGCATTTCCTTGATGATTCCCTTTACCTTGTAAACAGTCATTCGATGCTGAGCAATTGTAGTCAGTTTCTCTAGAAGGCCTCGTAATCTCTCCTGTGTTGCATGGGAGATCAAGTTCACAGCATCAGAGTTAAGTTCCGTAATGTCATGCTTTTTACCTGTAGAGGCAGGGAAAATCCATTACATGTTTTAGTAGTGGCTTATAATTGAAATAATTAGCACAGCAGGTATTCAGTTCCCCCTGGAAGTCATACCCATTATGAATAAAGGTTTGGAGATTATGATTTTCCTGGTAAAGTCACAACTTCAAAGATCTTAGACATTACATTAATAAAACCTAGCCTGGAGCCTCAGAAAATATAGACATTGTTTCCCTTAGCCTCTAGAATCATTCTCCCTGCAAGGTCATTTATAGGACAAAGTTAATAAGAACACAAATCAAGTTTAGTGTTCAGGGAGGATAATGGTAACTGCAGAAATTAGTGTTATATTCTGTTAACTTTAGTAATTAAAAAAATGGAAAGTCACATTTTACCGTGTTTGACACTGTTAACAATTCATGACATTCATTTCAGTGTACTTAAATTATAAATCTGTTAATTTTTTGTCTATAAAAGTATCCAATTTCTTTTTGTCTGTTACTAATTATATTTTGCACTACTCATGTTTTCAAAAATCAACCTATTAAGTTACAAGTTGAAATAAGCTCAAAACCCATTATTTCGCCATCAATTTCAATAACTTGTTCCTTTTAAGAACAACTTGTTTTATCCAGGTTGTAATGAGGAAAGAATTATTAGGAAAATAATCTGAATGACAAACAAGAGCAGCTCCTCTCTTACAGACAGTCCTAACAGTATCCAAACAGAATTTCTCAGACAACAAGATCTGCAATCAATAGATATGCAAACCTAAAGAGACAGACAGTTAAGGAATCTAAGCAGATATATTTTTAAAGGCTCCTGTGTGTTCTTTTTGTTGCTGTTGTGGTGGTGATGGTGTTTTGTGTGTGTGTGTAATGCTAGGGATACAGTCTTTACACTTGAAGGCAAGTGTTTCAGACACTGAGCCATTTCCCCAGGCCTCTGTTAATGTTTTAAAAGACATTTATATATATCTTCACAGTAATTTAAAAATATTGTTTGATTTTTATATGCTAATTCATATAATACATACTCATACTTTCATCAAAGGCTGAACTACAGCAAAAACATAATTTAATTAAAACTCAAATATACTTTGGCATTACTACAAAATAAGTTTTAATATAAAACGTAGTCTGAGTAAACTAACTAGTAAGAAGATTTAAAATTATCCAACTTATTTTAAACTACGCCTTCAAAATCTAATTCATTACTTTGGCAAAATTTAGCTCATTTCCAATTCAAACTGAAACAAAGGGAAAAGAAAAACCCACTACAAATTCCCAACTACCTTTAAACACTCAACATAAATAATTAGTTGGGCCTTGTATACAAGAAACAGTAAACTTTCAAAACAATCAAATGGTTAAAATTGTAACTGAACATGGTTGGCAGACTGCTCTTCTGCCAGAAGAGCATGGCCCGCACACTGCTCTTCCAAGACCTGAATTCAATTCCTTACATACTTGATGGTTACTCACAACCTGTAACTCCAGCAGCCTCCCTGTGCAACAGCATTTACATGCAGATATTCACACACACACACATATACACAGACACACACACACATATAAAAACTTAAAAAATAAATAGACATCACAATGAAACATAGGACAGACATGGGAAGTCAAGTTATTTCAAGATTAAATTAAAGAAAACGAGCATGTAAAATTAGTTCTTGGGGAAGAGGAATTTGAAAACAACGATATACTTATAAATCTGAAGCAATTTATTTAAAAATCTATACAATCTATAGAAGGCTCTGGATTTGATTCTTAGCAAAACAGATAAAATATAATAATTGGTATTTATTTTTAAAAATCTATAATATTTTGAAGCAAGTGTCAATAAATAATCCCTGAGTATATGCAACAGCAAATGTTCAAACATATCTTCATTAAGCAACAAATCTTAAAGCACAAGTTAAAAACTATAGACTAAATCCCACTTTTAAAACTTTAAAAAAAAGCCAACATAATTGATTAAGGAGAATTAGTAAGTGCTTGTGTGTTTACTATTGACTTTATTGAATGTCTGCAATTTAATTAAGATAATTAGAGAAAAATGAAAAATACTGACATTTACTCTAACCTTCATAAAATGTGTAATTTCTATCTTTAGGAATGTCCTCAGTTGGTAACTACTGTGTTGGAAAGAATTTTATTATAAATGGAAAACATCTCCAAAAATAAACGAACATTCACCCCTTGGCTGTTTCCTTTAAGCTTAGATAATTTGAGAATTTTTACAGTTTACATTTTGTATTATATTGTTTCTGTTTCATCATTAAGAACTGAAAACACAAATAGTTTCTTCAATTCTCCTATTGCAAATAGGGCTGCAAACTACAGCCAAAAAGTCAAAACTCATTTCTTTCTCAGCACAAAGTTTTATAGGAATCCAATCAATCGATTAAAGGCTTGTTTCTCCCCCAAAACACATGCAGAAATTCTGTTTGTGACCTAGTTATGACAGCTAACGCGTAACCCTTTGGGTATAATTAATCAAAAGGAATAAGGTAAGAAGAGACCACAGGAGGGTACAACATAAAGAGAGCTGTCCAAAGACCACCAAGGAGTCCCTGGCAAGGAATCCTGATGAGCATCCAGATCTGACGTCCCCACTCCAGAACAGTGACAATAAATACGTATCATTGAAACCTTCAAGGCTATGGTATTTTGTAATGGAAGCCAGAACCCCAGTAAGATACAGTCCTGCTCATTTGTTCACACATTGCTCCTATTTGCTTTCCACCTGGAACAAGAAAGTTGAATGCCTGTGACAGAGATCACAGAACACAAAGTGGCAAACATCGCCTGGTCCCATGTAGGAAAAAGTTGCTGGTTACTACCTTAAGATGTCTTCAAACCTTAAGAAAATGATTATCCAGGGATCAAAAGACGGCTCAGTAGTTAGGAATACATACTGCACTTGCAGAGGATTCAGAGTTCCTAACATCCACATTGTGAAGTTCACAATCACCAGTAACTCAAGCTCCAGAAGTACTCTACACCTCTGACCACTGTAGGCACCCCCACACTAGAGAACATACCCATATACACATAATCAAAAATAACATTTAATTTAAAATGTAACATTTAATAAAGATTTAAGTCAAACTAAATAAAATATGTGGAATGTCAAGAGAAACGAGCCAACGCTCTGGGTAACAAGGCATTGTAGTCAGCTGATGACAGCACTTTCTCTATAGAAGTTCCTCTTTGCAGATAACCAGGAAAAACAATTATTAATTATAGTTGCTCACTAAACATAACATGGCCTTATCTAAATTACAAAATAAAAGTGTTCAATATATCACAGCTAAAACACTCATTTATTATGAAGCAGACCAAATGTGGTATAATTCACAAAATTTATAATCTGTCTCTCATTACATTAAACATGATATCTTATAGTCTTTCACATGGTATTGAAATTTGGCTCCAAATAAGAGTACATTCTCTTCCATTTTCTTAAATTCACTGCAGCCAACTAAAGACAACCCTGTACCTAGAGAAAAATCTTATTATCCTAGCTCAGTTTTCTTCTATGGTAAGAGTGGAATTAAATTTTTGGATTGATACAAGGAAGGGGATTGGTTCTTATTATGTAGTCCTATAATTTATAAATACAGCATTTAAAATAGACTTTTATTTGTATACACACACTACTAAGGACCAACAAGAAATAAGATTTTAAAAACAGCATATATAAAATATTCATGCAAAATATGTAGTTCTATTAACCAAAAATAAAAAATGAAAAAATTATTAACTTCTATTATCTATCCCAAAAACAAAAAGTTGAAGTAATTATTTTTAAACTAAAATGCTTCATTCTTTAATACTCAGGAAATCTCAGAATATTTCTAGAGCCTTATCTAGAAGAGTTTGGCCACATCTTCAAATAACATTTCTCTTCAACAAACATACATATCAGGTCAATAATCATGATTCTATACTTACCAATGTCTAAAATTCTCTTTTGTAGAGCTCCAGTGAAAAGAAATGGTTCTTCTTTGCATGACTGAATGAGTGTGCCAACCAATTTAGAATGTGTTGCTAAGATGCAAGCGTTTTCTTCATCAAGGTTGACCTCTGCCATGCAAGTCACATCATTGATGTCATCTTCACCTCTAAAGGGACAAAAAGTTATAGTTTGGATAGTGTGTGTGTGTGTGTTTGTGTATGTGTGTACACACACACCTACGCGTGTACATGTATATACATGATTTCAGAGTGTAAAGAAACATAAGTCTTAGGCAAATATGGCAGTTCCCACTGTAATCCCAGTACTTGGGAAGTAGAAGCAGGAGAAACAGCAGTTAAAGGTCATCCTTGACTACACAGCCAGTTCAAGGTCAGTCTTCGTATGGAAAAAACAAAAACACATCTTTCTTATAAATAATATTATTTTATTGAGTCTACTCAATGAAGTGAACTGAAGAAGACTATCTCTCTCCTTAGGATTTTAGAAGAGCAAGCTTCCTGGAAGAGAAACCAGAGCCTGCTGTGTGTTCCAGAGTTTATTTTTTCCTCTCTGGTAGTTGAGACACACCAAGAGGGATTTGGATTTACTCCAGTCATCCACAAATCCTCTACAATGAAAGACAAGGAAATGAAAACGGACTCTTTGCTTTCATCCAGGATTGTTAAAAGCCCCTCAAGATTTCCCCTGTGCATTCCACTATCCACTTAATGGCAGCAGAAACACTAGATCATAAAGTCATATCACATAAAGTCCCTTAAGAAACTATTTATAAGCCTAGCTATTCTGAAATCAAATTTCTAAATTAATTTTGTTTTTATGATTCACATTTTTGCATACTTCCTCTATACCAAATGAATGCATTAAAACACACTCTCAAGCAATTGGCTACAAAGGGTGTATATTCAAAGTATAAATAAAATTGCACACATGCATATACATACACACACACAAAAAAACTTGAAATAGGTTTGGGTTCCTTGTTTTACACCAGTAAAATTAATCTTATAGGATTGTTATTTGTCTATATTACTAATGAGAGGAAATGTAGTTAAGAGAAATATAATACAATTCCCTCTGAGGATTCTATCTACCACATGTAATAACAGTCTAGTTACTAATCATGATTCACATACTAAATATACAAAAGTGATTATTATATTAGAAAGTATTCCATAAAAAGATGAGCAAATGGTACATCATCCATCTATGTCAAATACATTTAAATTACATATCTCCCAGTGATGATGCATTTGTGTAAAGAATAATAATCATCAAACACTCAAGAAATGAAGACCCTTGGTATACACCTTAAAAAAGCAGGACATTAAAGAGGAGAAAATAAAAATGCCCACACAAACATACAGAAGTGAGCCAAATGAAAAAACAGTGCCAGACACACAGTTTAAAATTAAAGAAAGAACAATGGCTTTATCATCATGCAGGCTACTAACAGCTCAACATGTAAAGATGTGTCTATACTAGCAGAAAAAAGAAAAAAAATTAGTATCTCAAATTACTGCTGAAACATTCATAATAAAGAAAATAGAGTACATCTATTAATATCATAAAGTTCTCAGTGGCTCTAAAGATCTACTTGCAACTGATATACACCAAATGGAATGTCCAGATTTAAATATTTAAACACAAAGCATAGTATGCCAAAAAAATTACCAAAACAAGGAACAGAGTCTAAGTTTTTTTAAAAAATTCATTTTAAAAGGCCTAAGTAAAATACTTCAAAATGACCTAGCATCCCTGGGTACTAAATTAAAAGTAAGAGGGAGTAATGAGTTTTGATGTTCTATTATACAGTAAAGTGACTTTTTAAAAAAATGACTATATGTTGCAAAACAAAACAAAATAAAACACAAGGATCTTGAATATTTTCACCAAAAAGCAATGGCAATTGATTAAGACTGTATACATTACTCTGATTTGAACATTATACAATGTATATATGTATTGAAACATAACACAGTATCAATAAATATATAACATTATAGCTTAAGTCCCAATTTTCTAAGGAACCATCATATTGATTTCTAAAGTAGCTATGCTTCTACCAGCAATGGAGGAGTGTTTCCCTTACTCCACATCCTAGCCAGCACGAGCTGTCAGCTTGTGTTTTTAATCTTAGACCGTTCTGAATGATGTAAGATACAATCAATCTACCTCATGAACTAACTATATATAACACTTCTAGGCATAAACCCAAAGGACACCCACTCCTACCACAAAGACATTTGCTTAACTATATTTACAGAAGCTTTACTCATAATAGCCAGAAACTGGAAACAACCAAGATACATTTACACAATGGAGTTTTATTTAGCTGCTGAAAAATCACATCTTAAATGTGCAGGCAAATGGATGGAACTAGAAAAAAAAATCATCCTGAGTGAGATAACCCTGGCCCAGAAAGACAAACTCTTATAAGTGAACAATAATTAGCTATAAAGTAAAGGATAATCATGTCACAATCCATAGACCCAGAAAGGCTAATAAATAACAAGGCAGGCTCAAGGAGAATGCATGGACCTCCCTGGGAAGGGGAAATAGAATAGCTTTCATGATTGGACTGGGGACAGTTGGAATAAACACTGAGATCCTAGTCCATACAGGTAACAAACAGACTGAACAGAATGTATTTATATATTTACAAATGTGTGCATGCATGAATAATAACAAAGAAAAGGTGTCCATTTTCTGAGAGAGTGTAAGGGTGAGTGGGGTGGGTGTTTAGGAAGGGCTGGAAAAAGAAAAGGAGGTAAATGATGTGTTATAATTTCAAAAAATAAAAATTATAAATAAATTAAAAGTTTATGCAGCTGGAAAGATTGTTCTGTGGTTAAGAGAACTTGCTGCTCTGGAAAAAGACCTATGTTTAGTTACCAACACCTACATGACAGCTGACAACGGTTTCTGGCCCAAATTCCCGGGATTTCAACACCTCAGTGAACACTGTAAGCATGTGTTACACTTACTTAATTGCAGGCAAAATACTCAAATACATACAATAAAAATAAATGAATCTTTAAAAATAAAGGTTTATTACAGAGAACCAATTAAGACTGAATGCTTATAAATGAGATTTGTTTGCAGACCCATGTATATATAGCATCCTGCTTTCCTGTCAGAGTTCCTGCACAGCTACTAGTAAGAACTACACAGTCTTTAGAGATCACTTCCAGGCCTACATACTACAAGTTCAAAAACCAGTAGTAGAATTTAATTCAAAGAGAAGTTCTTCCTGACAAATAAAAAAAAACTAACTACCCAATAATTACTTTTTACCCACCTTGTCCCAATCTAACCATAATTCCTTCTGGTGCAGCTAGCAGTAAGCACTGCACAGGAGCGGGGGGAAGAGGAGACGGACCTCTACTGAGAAAGAAAAGGGGCACAATAAAGAGTACTCAGGCCTTTTAAAAGTTTCTCAGGAAAGGGAGGGCAGACAGTAAGAAAGCAAAGGCAACACAGGCAGCAGCACTCACTGTCAAGAAAAGCAAGAAAGACTGTTGATTGCTCACTAACCTTTTTGTTTGTTTGTTTGTTTGTTTTTCGAAACAGGGTTTCTCTGTAGCTTTGGAGCCTGTCCTGGCACTAGCTCTGGTAGACGAGGCTGATCTCAAACTCACAGAGATCTGCCTGCCTCTGCCTCCTGAGTGCTGGGATTAAACCACCGCCTAGCTGATGTTGAGATTTTTAAAGACTAATTTCTAAAATTGGGGTGGGGGAGAGACAAAGACTGGGAGAAATATGGGAAGGACACGTGAGGTCAAAGAACACCTCTGTGGAGTCATTTCTTCCTTCCGCCTTTACGCTCCTGTGATCAAATTCAGGTCATCAAGCTTGCACAGCAAGCACTTAACTGAGACACCTCATCATCAGAACTGTTTTATTTCTTATAAAGCATGCCTCCATGATATAAGCCAAACATGAAAATGTACTAAGCTATAAAACTAAAGAGTACTTGATGTGGGATGGTCTTCTAAGTGTTGTTTTTATTGGTTGATGAATAAAGCTGCTTCGCCCAATGGCAGAGCCAGAGGGCGACAGCAGGGGAGTCAAGAGCCTCCATACAGCCTCCGAAAGAAGTAACAGCTTTGTGGTAATACACACATTAATAGGAATGGGTTAATTTCTGGGTCTGGGTTACCTCGCTCAATATGGTTATTTTATATCTAGATCCATCCATTTGCCTGCAAATTTGTAGTGTGGGGGTCACAGGAGACGGTAGAATGGAAGGGGGAGGGAAGAGACCAAAGAAAAATGTATAGCTCAATAAAAACAACAAAAAAGTAAAAAAAAAGAGGGGGGATTAATTTAAGATGTAAGAGTTAAGTAGGAATACACCTAAGCCATTGGTCAAACAATGTTGTAATTAATATAGTTTCTGGGTGGACTGGAAATGAAAATGCAATTTTCATTTACAAGTACTGTTTCTAGAGCTAGGTTTTAGACTCTGTCCTACAATTGTAAGATGGCAGTGCTAAGTATGACTCTTCCCATCTCTACTCAGTCATCCCATCTAAAAAAATCTAAAATGAAACCATATCTATATCAAGTGTTCTTGAATGAAAATCATATTAGAAATTAAAACTGTATTAGAAACTAAGCATGAATATAATTTTTGCATAGTAAAATAATAAGCTTATCATGTTAAAAATAAATAACTTCAAATGTAACCAATATAAATTTTAACAATAATGAATATAAAATAGTAGAATCTTGCCATCCTCTCTTTCATAAACCTCCCTAGAATATACTTTTGAGTCTCTTACTCTCACATCCTTCGGTAATAGTTATTCAGATACCCCAAATTTAGATGACTACACAAAACTTAACTCATATTACTACCTCCAACAACTATGTTGGAATATGCAATGCTGATAAACTGTCAATTTTATGATGATAGACACACTTTTCCCAAAATTTTAATTTTGCTTAAAATCTTAAACCTTATTAGGAAAAAATTATTTTATTTGTTTTTATTAAAATGCTAAATCTTCAGTCAGTATAACTGTAGTGTGTCTGTCATTTGTCATTTAAGTGAAATGGCGTACCAGATGTTTCACCCCACCGTTTTAGAGGCATCAACAGGTTACACAGTGAAAAGGGATAGTAATATAACACCAACACCTT